TCAAAGCAGCCATGTCCTTAATTATGCATAACTTTAAGCCTTAATATAATTGAAACACCTGAGTTATATAAAATCCCCCCCCAGTACAGTTGTCACAAACGAGGAAATTAGCTACCAAAACCATTTTTTGTACGAGGCTGTAAACATGTTTATTTCTGCTGTTAATTTGGGTATTTTAATATGGGGCCTTATGGAGATTGATTCACTTCTGTAGCCAGCCTCAAGTGGCCATTCAGGTAACTGCAATTTGTGTTTCGCATTGTCACGGAAGTTGCTGCTTGGTCTTTTCATGGACTTCGTTGACAATAAGATAAATACCATTTTAATAAGTTTAAATTTTCTCTCCTAAAAACAGTCACATCATGAGCTCTGTTGCCTCTATACCTTAAGCTGCTGCAGGATCACACAGTATCACTGTCATGTTTTGCAGGAGTAATGATATGCAAATTTTGCAAGGTGGGACACTACCTCTTGCTGTTTGAAGAAAAAAACTGTAAAATTTACATGATAACTTGCTGTGCTGGTTTTCAAAATGCATAAAACAGTTTCTGTAGCGCAGCACAAGGACACATCAACAATCAGGCACGTGCTGCGCATATGTGAGTGTGTGAGAGAAATCAGCACAATCACACACCAAAGAATTAATCTACTCATGCACAACTCCTGCACCTTGACCTTGAGTCGTACCTGACAGAGTCAAATGAGGTTGAGAGTACACGGACCACAGGTTGGAGGCAGAGAAAATCACAGCAGAATTTCAATGGCAGAAAGCTGCAAGCAGAAATCTTAATCCCTGGAAGTCAACCATGCATATACAAACTGAATGGCTGTGCGCCTAACAATCAAGAAGCCTTGAGAACTGGCAGCGCTGGTGTGTGCCCAGATGGTGGGGTGGGGTTGCTCTGGGCCGAGGGGTGACCATGACCCCCATCACTCACCTCCAACCCCGACAGACAGTACATCAAAAACACTGGCAGAGGGATTGACAGCCTCATCTCCCTTTTTATCAAATTACTGAGACCACTAGACAGCAGTGCTAATATGACGTCTACATTAATATGATTTAATATCATCAGGCTTTATTTCTGACTGAGTGTAACCATGGTAACCACACTTGATGGAAAGCTGCGCGTTCGCATGGTTTGTTTTATAAACCATCACCAACCATGAAGTGGCGTCAGTTAGATTCATCATTTCTTATCATGTTTGTTTGCAAACAGGAGTTAACCCACTCCTGCAGATGGTTTACCTTGATCAGCAGGCGGATTGTTCCTGAGGCCTTGTGGGAAATGTAGTACCAGAAGGAGAGCTTGCAGATGGCGCTCGACTCTTTCCAAACAGAGCTCCTGAGATGAGCTTTATCACCTCTGAGTCCCACCGGTGTAGCTTCCAAAAAGACAAAATGACCTGAAGAGAGAAGAGAAGAAGGGCAGTGAGGAGGGAAACGAGGCAAAGAGGAATTGATAAGTATCTCTGTGTGGGCAGCTCTTGCAGCCAGTGACAAATTACAGCAAGGTCACAAACAGTGTGGTTGAGGAGTGAGGGCAAGGGGTCGCAGAGTAATCTCTGACACATCTTCTCATATCTCACTGCCGTTTGACAGCCGGGGACCACTGTGGAAGTTTCTCAGTCTTGAGTGAAGCTCATAAAGAAAGGAGAAAACCTGAAAAGATGAAGCTGAATAGAAAACTGCATCTGTGCTGTCACGAGTCCTTCTGTCTGCAAAGATGTAGCAGTTATTTTCTACATTACTAATTACAATAAATATTTCAGAGAGATTTTTTCACAATCCGTCCCTTTTTATCATTATATCCTTCAGATCATGCAATCAAACCCTGTTTTTGATGATGTTTATGGTCTGCATTTTTTAGCAATAGCCATTCGATTTATATTTATTATTCAGTAGTTTTCATTGTAAGTGGTGGAGTCTGCCATTCCCACGCTACAGGTTGCCTTTACATGAAAGAGGGATTCAAAACAAATGAGGCGTACATATAATCCAGTGTTTCTTTTAAATTATATCTCATCAATATCAACCTCACTATTTACTCTCACACAGCTGTATCAGATTGTATTAATTTACTGCTAATGCAAACTGAACATTTCCTGCTGCTGCTTCACATTAAAGGCATTCAGCTGGCCATAGGGGGGCTATGATTGTGATCGGTTATGAAAAATGTGTCGGTAGAAGACAGTGGTCAGTTTCTGTGTTTTTGAAGAGAAACTTCTCAGTAAAGTAAGCGACTCTTGCTCCAACCACGTGAGTTTGTTTGGCTGCACTGTAAACAGATACAGCAGTTGCTCTTCTGGTGTATTTTTAAGTAGCTGCTCAATGAATGTTCGTCAATGTTTGTCACCAAATTAACCAGGACTGAATTCTTTAACAACTTTAAGATACTTAGAAGAAGCACCTCCGTAAGAGCTCCTGTGTGTTTATTTATTCATGTATATTGCCTTTTACCATGCACATTCGATAATGGAATTACAGCCCTAAGAGCCCTGCATCAATCACCTGAAGGCTCACCTGCTGCACATTCACATACCGGGAAGTAGCTCATTGATTTTGTCACTGAAACATGAATTAAACATTGTGGAGAGCTACCACAGCATTTTGGGTTTAACAGGTGGAATTTTTTGAAGTCAGCTCTGTTTCATTCACTCTGATTATGCAAAACCACTCAGAAAGTGAAGATGCACTTCAATTATACAATGCTAATTTCAGTTTGAGGCTAGAACAGTGACGGACTTTCTTTTCAATGACAAACATAAAGTTAACAAAACTTAAAAACTTTTAAATTAGTTCACAGTTAAAATGTGTATGAACTATATGTGAACATGTACCAGTTTCATCCATCAACGTGTGATCGTATGGAGGCCGTATGCTTTTGATAGATCCAACCCCTAGTGTCCAGTCTAAGTTATCGGCCAGGGAGCTCTTCCAGCCACAGCGACCGTTCTCAAAGGTGCAGGAAGTCCCGCAATCCTTTTCATCAGTGCCATCGCCACAGTCATCTGTGAAGTCACAGCTCTGCCCCGGAGTGAAACACTGGCCATTTTCACAAGGCAGGAAGCCTGAAGGACAGGAGCCTAGAAATAAGACACACATAAAATATAATTCAGACTGTGGCTGTGCTCTTTTATGTAAAATAATGGGTGTCTAATCAAAGACAACCTAAGTGGACATTGTGTCTGCGTCTGGTCTAGCATTGTAATACGTGTACGTACACGGAGAGACCTTTAGGTCAGGATCACTTGACCTATAGGTGTCACGTTCCTGCTGAGACTTCTCCTGATGAGAAGTATGTCTGTATGGTAAATGTTGATGTCAACAACCTGTTAGCTTAGCATAGGATAAAGACTGAAATCGGGGTGGAACAGTTAGCCTGGCTCCATCCAAAGGTAATTTAATCCACCTACCAGTGCCTCTAAAGGTCACTAATTAAGATCTTATTTGTTTAATTTTTACCCAAACCAAATATTTTAGGAAGTAACTGCTCCGCAAAAAGTAAATCGCCCAAAATCCCCTGTAAAACTGCAACAACTTTTACACTTAATTTGTGAGCTTTAGAGATGCTGGTACGTGGTTTTTGTTACCTTCTGACAGAGCCAGGCTAGCTGCTTCCCTCTTTTTCTCAAGTCTTTATGCTAAGCTAAGCTAACCAAATGCTGGCTGCAGCTTCATATTTTCAGTACAGACATGAGAGTGGTATCAATCTTCTCTACATCTTGACAGGAAAGCAAATAAGCATAGTTCCCAAAATGACAAACTATTCTTGATAGTGTAATGATAGTGTCTACTGTGTGCTTCACCAACTTTAACAGCACTACAAGAGTTAAGTATTTACTTCAGAGCATAAGAAGTCAACTCAAGAGTGGGGAGACCATCTGCATACAGCATCAGGGTCTCTTTAAGAGGCTTAAGAAGACAAAGGGGCATGGGGCTATAAGCCCAAATCAGTGTATCATAGGGTGGCGGTGCTGGAGGGGGCTGGAATCTGCTTCTTTTGGTGCCAGGAATTCCAGCGGGGTCAGTGCTTAGCTTTGGGGAGTGTTAGAGAGGGAGATGAGGCGTGATGAAGAGGGGTGGTCCCTGTAAGTAAAGGAGAGAAAGGGATATAAGTCCCTCCTAATCCTTTGTTCCTCTTCAGATGCACAGGACCAGAAGCAATGTGCCCCAACAAAGGCACATAAGAAGCCAGGAAGCCACAGCTCCCCACTGTGAAGCCAGGCTGCCTCACCACCTGATGGGGAGCATACTGGAGCTGTAGGTGGATTCATGTTAAAGAAACGTTCATGTTGGAAGCTAATAATATCTCTTCACATTTGTAGTTCTTCACCTGTTACTCTGTGAAAGCACACTTTACTTTGTCCTCATTAATTCCAGTACATATCATGTTACATGGATATCTTTAGGGCTCTGCATTGCTGTCTGTAATGTGACCTTCACACCAGGGAGCCACTGTCCTCATCTACAGTATGTCGGTCAGTCACCCTGCGTGGCATACTGCCCCCTGGTGCAAGGATGTTGCTCCAGACCAACATTATAAAGAATTCACACTGAATTACTTCTGTAATGGAAAGTCTGACCGATAAAGTGAAGTAAGTTATCCAATCATGTCAATGAAAGGTGTCATGTGATCCACTGTATTGTCTTTCCTCTGACATCTGAAGTGTTAGATTTCAATTTAATTTACAAATTTTATCTGGCTTCCTCCTGTTTTCTTTTAATATTTTATTGATGAAACTGAAGCTTCATTGTTGTTCTGCTGCCCATTGCTCCCTCCCTTTCTTTGACAGTGATAGATCCAAAACCAAATAGCTCTCACAGCATGTCTGAAAAGTTAACCTCATACCCCAAAAGTGCCTTTTTGATTAGACGCTGTCAAGTTCATAACAGTCAAAATGAAGATTAAACTGAATTTATGAGATTAGAGGCCACAGATGATAAGAGGGAAACAGAAAACAAGTCTAGTAACATTGCATCTATCAGTTAAAGTAATGGCTTTTTGTCATTCAGACTGCATTTGATTCCTCAAAGTGGCCACCTGGCGTAGATGATTGTTACCTAAATGTTCCTTGCGGCTTTCTTCAGACACAAATATGAAGGACGAAGAGAGTTTCCTGATGGATCTTTAAAACGTATTTTGCCATTAAAGCCTTAACTAATGACCTCGCCCCAGTTTTCTTCTAATGAATGTGATTCCTTTTCACATCACTTTAATTATTTATTAGGTAAAGTCTGAAATTACTCAAGTAGAGAATGGCAAGGCATTAAACTAGGACTCACATGCTGTATCAAAAATTATAGTTGGATATTCTATTTCCCCCCCATGCAGGCAGCATACCTACACTTTAGTATTTGAAAGCAAATTACATTAAAATTGTTTACATGATTTGGGCCATAATGTCTTGTTAAATTCAAGATAAAATGCTAGGGGAGCATGCAGTGTGTTTCACCTCTCCATCATGTAATGTGATAGTATTATAGAACGAGGCAGTGGAAAATGTCCCTGAGGGGCTTTAGTATATAATTACAGCTCCTGCTGTCTTTGGTCTCATCAGCGTACATCTTCTGCAGCCTGCAGCAGCAAAGGCTCTCCCCTCTGGCTCTTTAAATAGTGGAATGAACTTCACTGTCAGGGCAGCTGTGTTGCTCCCTGTCTTAACCTTCAAGAAATACTACCTATCCCTCTATTCTCCAGACCCACATCCCTTTCTATTTCCATCCCACTTTATTTGCTCTGCTTTTACTTGTTCTGAAAATCATTCTGTCATGTTTTGAAGAAGAAAAAATAAAACACTTCTTCTGCCCTTTCTCCCTTGCAATATTTTTTTCTTTCTGGTATTTCTCAACCTAGTAGTTCAATACACTGGAATCCTTTTGACAGATTCTGCCAGCTCCTTTTTTTAAGCATACTATACAGTATAGGCACTGTATAAAAGCTTGTTTCACTGTTGGACTAATTTTGAGCCTGGATAAGATTGTAGCTATATTAATAAACATAATTTGCATCAGTAAGGTACATACTGCACATATTCATTCACTGAACTATGCATTTCAATTTAAGAGTCACTTCACCCAAATGACAGACAAAACCATATTTTCTCACTTTTTTTTTTGGTTATGTTATGAGAAATCTATCTCTGAAATGTCTGCCCCCACTTCAACACAATGTACGGGAATCATATTTTGTTTGCAGAAGACAGAGTCCCTGTTGTTCTGGATTATGCACAGAATAAACTGTCAACAGCATTCAGAGGGACTATTTCTTCAGTAGAAAGCCGCTCCACACTGATTACAGTGAGTGCTCTGGATAATCCAGAGTAAACACAGTTTCTGTAAAGACACATTGCTGCTGAATTGTTTTAATGTTTTTTTTTTTTTTTTTACAGCGTCACAAATGACATTGCATTCACTGTGTTGGGGTTTGGACAGAAATCTCAAAGGCTGACATCTCAAAACTTGGTCAAATAAAGCCACAACTATCTGTAGATACCACTAAAGGCACATGGGACAATGCATTTTTTGTAAAAAGCATGGACAACTTTCAGCAACCATCAATGTCAACATGCTGCTCAAGACAGATATATCTATTTGAGCATCCTTTTAAAACACCAGAGTTTTGATGAAAGCATTAAGCAGAGCAGGAGAGTGAGATGATAAACTGCCAGTGATGTAAATGTAACAGCATTAACATGGAAGCATCATTACTGCTCACTGATTACACTACTTCAGAGCTCTGTGACTGATTAATACGCCGACTATGTGTGAGCTATTCACTGGAAGCACTAATAATGACAAATGCAGAGAGACAGCGAGACAGTGAAACAAGTGAGAGAAAGACACAGCTGTAAGGGAAATCTTCACTACACATCACACTTATCAGCTACTGAAGAGAAGCCTTCTCCAGCTCATGTCAAAATGACAAGGAGACACTTTCAGGGGCCACACAGCCTCACAGTTTGCGAGCACAGACAATCCAGAAACTCTCTCTTCTCCCCGGCATCCAATACAAGAGAAAGGCAATAAATTTAATAGGCCAATTATAGCCGCAGTAACAACGGCAATAAATCAGCTCTTATTGTTTTCTCTTGCCTCTTCTAGGGTTCCCTCATAAAGAAGGTAGGGGATGCAGAGGGACATCTAATAGATGAATGGTTCCCAACTATGAGATACAGACAGTAATGGGGCTTTACTCAGGGCTTAGACCAGGGGTTCCAAACTGCCGGCTTGGGGGCCATTTGCGGCCCTCCATCCCCATCCCTGCCTCCTTCTCTTGATATAAAAATGTAATATAATTTAGTAATGGAAACATTTTCCACATATTGCACTTTCTTACTTCGTACTTAAACATGGTAAAGTGGCCCTCCTATGAAATGACAATACCAGCAGTGGCTCCGAGCCGTTTTGAGTTTGGGACCCCGGGCTTAGACGGACAGTGACAAACACAATGTTTAATGTTCAGTGCTGAAAATATTCATAATTTTTACTTCATGTCAAAGGGAAACTGCATTTTTATTGTGCCTTTTATTCATATTTCAACATTATTCTGGTTGAAAAAGGATGTTAATGAGGAGCTCAGATGTGAAACATAGAATTTGATTCAGTCTTTTGCCAATTTTTACATATTAATAAAAGCATGTACCCTCATAAAATGTAAGGGTTTTTGAGGGTTTAACACCCATGCGTGCAAGAGTGTTGCTGCATGTTTGCGCAGAGACATCCGACACATGTGACAAATGTCCTCAATTTCCAGGAGATCTAACACTACATAAATATTATATACATTTCTAAAACTGCAGATTTTCACCCTCCAAATAAAAGCCACTATTAACTGGCTAGTGCTTTCAGGAACAATAAAAAAAACAATATGTTCCAGCTACTCCCTGGCCTTCATCGAGGCTCCAGTCTTTGGCAGGAATTTACTGGTTGTTTATTACAGCTCCAGTGCAAATGAGGCAGGCTTTTTACGGTAATTTTTGTTTTGCAAGGACAGTGCCTTGTTGAACCTAAAAAAGCAAGACTAGATCTAAAGCTCTGTGAGACTGCACTTTGGTGCGTTGAGCTAAATGCTAACATCCTGATTTTTTTACCTTCATAACTGTCGTAGTTTAGGGTGTTCGCATGCTAACATTTGATGATTAGCACTGAGGGGAAAGTTTCATTTCGCAAGTATTTGACTTTGATATTTGACCTGATGATGGCACCAGATCAAGTTATGGGATCTATAAAGTTATTACAAATCAATATGAATGGCTGAATCAACCTCGCTGCTAATCCATCTGATATTTGTTAAACATTTAACAATTTAACTAAAATGTTAACCTCATGATGTCGTCTGGGGGTGAAGTGATTTGGATTTGTCCTCTGGGAACCATGAAGGTCTAATTTCAGAGTAAAGCATTTAATAGTTGTTGAGGTATTTCAGTCCAAACTGGACTGAACATAACATTATGTTCCCCTAGGATGGAAGAAACACTTTCAAAGGCAATTCAAAGAGAGAGGAGGATTATAGTAAATCAAATTTAGATAGAACGTGATGGACGTGAGTCCTGATAATAATATAAAAGAGATTAGTCCCTGGAAAAAAAACAACATGGAAAATTGAAATAGCAGTTCTTCACATTGTTTTTTGAGTCCAAAGGGGGTCGGGTAGGAGGTGGGATTCAGTGAGGGGGAACACAGTTGGAGCTGAGAAAAAAAACCTACATGAGTAGCATCTGAAAAACAAGGGAGAAGAGAAGAGTGTATACCTGCAGGAGGCGGAGGAGTGTTGTCCTCTACTGCAGCTGAGGAGGCGAGCAGACATCCTGGAGAGAAAGTGATGTCATCCAGGCAGATGTCACCCTTTGGACTTCGGCCCACCTTGCCCTTAAACATGACCTGAAAGTCCCCGGTGAAGCTCAGTGGGATTTCTTTCATCTGCCAGTAGTTGCCCTGATCTCCAGTCAGGTTCAGAAGGAGATGAAGACGTCCTTCGCTTTTCCCGAACACACTGAGGGTCCCGATGCCGTCTCCAGACATGTGGAGATAGAAACGCATCTGGACCAAGGACAGAAAATTAAACATATGACTAAACAATATAACAGTATATATTTTACATAATAACTGTCAGCCTTTACTAGTACTCATCATTATGAGTTATTTTGTTATATATTCTGTTGTATACTGTACTACACATATTTATAATCTCTTATTTTCCTATTTCTATTTATTGTTATATACTGTAATATAATGTACATATTTTTCACACACTGCTTTTTTTATATATTGTTATTTAATGCACATATTTAAACTTTCTTACTATTTCTATTTCTTGTCTTTCTTGCTTAGCAACTTGAGCAACTGTAACGCAACCTATTTCCCCCCAAGGATCAATAAAATACTTCTGATTCTGATTCTGAAAATGCTGGCAAATTCTGAGTAACATGCATATTACATATTGTTGCTGATTGATAGTTCTTTGGTCTCCTTTGGCACACTGACACCACTTTCTTTTCCATTATGTTTCTTCTCTTTTTCTTTCTCCCGAATAACCCTTACTCCTCGGGGCAGAATATGGAAAGAAACCAAAAGTATAGGCATACAAAGGTAATTAAATTTTAATCTTGTCACAAGATCAATGCACTTTTTCCTTTCAGTCCTTTTCTTTATTAAAGCTTGGAGAGAAATGTGTGTCTCTCCATCACACAGCACTGAGGCAGTGATACATTTTATAGGTTTTCTCTCCAAATGTAGGAGCTGCAGCAGCACAACAACACCCTCAATCTCAGGAGAGACTGCACGTCCTTCTTTCCTTCTCACTCCCCCTCTCATGCACAGCCCTCCCTTCAGTTTAATTGGTGCCTTTTTGCTGACTGTGTGATTGATTGACAGGTCAGGAGAGGGATAAGACAGACATGGCGTGCAGAGCAAACTGCACAGTCAATCAAGACATTGTTCCCGGTAGAGCATCGGGCTGACAGCTAAGAGGACACACACACACACTAAAAAGTGCACTAGCACATACACTCAGTTTCTAATTGCTTGTTTTGCACACAACACATTTTCATTTGTACATGTGCATGAATAACTGATTCAGAGAAAATGTTTTTAACATTTATTCCAGAAAGCTATTTTCTTTGAAAAAGTAATTTTTAGAGATACACATATTTATTTTCTTGCCAAGAGTTAGATGAGAGGATTGACACCACTCTCATGTTGAAATTGGAAGTTAGAGCCAGGAGAAGGTTAGCTTAGCTTAGCATAAATACTGGAAAAAGGGTGAAACATGTTATATGTATTGTTCATCTTTGTACAGATTAATGATACAAGATATAACATGTTAATAAGAGGTTACCTGGCTGTAGCTTCATATTTATATTTATGGGAGTGTAACTCTGCAAAAAAGCAAAAAAAAGTTTCCCAAAAAGCCAAACTAAAACTTTTAATGTCATTCCTGTGAATATATCAAATTGAATTTACTTTATTTATTTAGGTCCAGTGTGTTGTGTGTATAGTTGCAGATTACAACGCCCTCGCCTCACTTTCCCATTCCAAGCATGTAAGATAACAACTCACAAAAATCGTAAAATTATATCTATAGCCAGTGTTTGGTTTGTCTGCTCTTGGCTGCTGTGGGAACATGGTGGTTCAACATGGAGGACTCCGTAGAAGAAGAGTGAAAACATACCTATGAATATTTTATTCCATTTCTCACAATAGATCTTCCTGAATGTTACTCACTAGACCTTAAAGGAGGCATTTATCTCTGTGTTGGTCATTGTTACAGTTTATTATTTCTAACTGAAAATTAGATAGATTATAACACAGTTCCTGCTGCCTCTTTAGTTATTCGAGCATTAAATACAACTTATAACTATAAATATACAATGTGAAATATAAATTAAACAATATGTAGTTAATATATGCCTACAGAGACTAATGGAATTTTTGTCCCTTTCAGATTAGATTTTCAGAATACATCTCAGCATTCAGGGCAGGGAATCCACAGGAGTGATAACGTTTTATTACATTTTATAGTATGTCTTTAACTTATTCCATCTATTCTGAGTGCTATAGTTTTAGCAATTCGGTTTTACTAGGTAGTATTTGTTTATTTTAAGCCATATATTTTATGCAGAACCTGTAAATGTTTGTTCCCAAGGGAGCATCAGTGCAAATATAAATGGTCAAAATACTGATCTTGTTCTTGCTCACTGACCCCTGCCCTCTGCACTTTGACCCCCACCTCACCTTGCACTGTGAGCTCCTGCGGCTTAGTAAGGGTCCTGATATGCAGGCGGTGTCTCCAGCTGCCTGGGGGAAGGTGCTCTCCAGGTAGAGATAGTGCCCAGAGGGGTCTCTCAGGGTATGGTCCGTCGATGGCCCGGTGCCAACTGTCGGAGTGCTGCCCGCTTTGATCAGCCAATCAAAGTTATCCTCTCGGCTCTGGCGCCAGGAACAGAGGTCGAACTCAAAACTGCAGCGTCCGCTAAAGCCGTCTGAAAGACAGCAATAAAAAAATAAAAAAATAAATCCATTCAGGCTGTCCAATTATCTGGAAATGAATCTTTTGCAGGGTGTCATCGGTCAGACATTAGAGGAGGCCTCACTGCAGATGTAGTGGTCCTCATCAGAGTTGTCCCCGCAGTGGTTGATGAAGTCACACAGGTTGTCCTGTGGGATGCAGTGGCCATTAGCGCAGGCGTACTGCTCAGGTGTACACGACTGGTCTGACGGAAGAGGAGGGGAGCAGTGCAGGAAGCTGACATCATCTATCACCACATCACCCATGTAGCTGATCCCTCGCTTCGCCCTGAACACCACCTGAGAAAGGACAACGAACTTAAGATGATCAACTCTTGGCCCTGTCTGTCAATTAATTAATCACACCAGGGTTTGATGCTTAATATCATCAAACAAGGCATTAAAACCAAAGAGGCGATAGCTGCTGGTCTAGTGAGTGATGTAATTCTGCGTCTTGGGGCAGTCAGTTGATGAAGAGCTCAGAGACGAGGGGAAAAGGGCACACTTGGACTCTGGAAAAGGGGCCCTTCAGCTGCTGATTGTACCATCAGTGCAGATCTGAATCTGTCTGGTCTGACAAAGGTTAATGAAAATAGGCAAAGGCCGTGGTATTTGGTCAAACAGCTTTTGTGCAATCATGCCACCAGGACTGACACAGTTCCTCTGTCTGTGTGCGTGTGTGGTCATACTGACCTGGAATAACCTCCGCAGCCATACACTATGAAGGGATTGCAACTCTGATTACTGTCACACTCACAAGTTAAGGCTCATTAGACTAAATTAGAGTCAATCAATTCATCATTGATCAAGTCTGCGTGTCCAATTTAGCCTGCCGCAACTGAAATTAGGCCAATTACATTGATGTGGACAGTCATCTAAGAGGCTGCCCTTCACCTCAAACTGAATGTCAATAATCTGAATCTTCACACTAAACTGTATTTCATCTCTAACATTGTAAAGAGTTTTACACACATTTGCTCAGTTAAGAAAAGTAAGTGATGAATAATTGTTGTTCAAGCAGCAGTTACATCCTTTGAGTTATACTCAGATATTTCTGGTGATAATTCTGCCAATAAAAGCAGCAGTTGGTTCTCTGATAATAAAGCAAGTAACTTCTATAAACATGTGTTATGCTTCTTAATAAATTCATCCTGAATCATTAAATAAGTTGTCTATCTTATATGATGAAATAATCATATTTCAGGTGATAATGGATTTATTAGCAATGGAGCAAGCAGCTTAAAAACAAACATACAGGACAGAACACTTATTATCTTGTTATCATGGCACCTGCCATGATAACACCATACTACCATATATTTTATTAATTTTGCTTCTTGATAAATTCATCCTGATTTATTTTAACATTTATAGATATAAAAAATAGAAATAGGAGAATGAGATGTATTTTAGCTCATAATTGAAGAAAAGTAAAAAAACTTCACCTAAAGCAAGAACAAAACATCTGATTCAGTACCACTTATTACAAAGGAACATGATGTGAGCCATTTCATTGCATTGAATCTGGATATATAACACATTTGAAAGTGACAAAACAATTTACAGACCTGGAAGTTGTTTGATAACCCCAAAAACACTTCTCCTCGTCTCCATTTGTTGCCTTGGTTACCAGTCTGAGACCAAACCTCATGAGAGACGTTTCCATACTTCAACAGCACCTGCACGTGTTGTGAGTACAACAGGTGAGTGAAACGTTGTACACAGAGTATTATTCTCCCTGCTAAGTGAAGTTTATTTAACCTCCTTACTTGCAGTGATCCCACTGTGAAGCCGCTCATGTAGTACCAGAAGTCCAGGGTGCACTGTGGCCCAGTGGAGGAGATGACAGGTGTCTTGAGGTCAGTGGTTTGTCCATAGCCGCCATTTGAACTGTCTGCACACATATACCAACCCTCAGGACTGCCTCTATCAGTGGAAAGACAGAAAGTACAGAAGGAGATCATAATTATGTCCCCACCGTGTGAGTCCAACTGTGAATTGTTCTGCATCAACTGAGAGTTTGCATTATTATTGAGGCATTTTATAGATTTTCTTGGATATAAGTGACCTCCTTTGAAACCTTACTGCTCAGAGAAAAGCCTCTGGACAGTGATTGCTTTTATAGTGTCCCACTTTTTTCTCTTCTGATGTATTTTTTTGAAGTTGGCCACCCACTTCTTTCTGAAATGCAAATTCTTTATCATTTTTTATGAGTTTTATAATGTTGAACAAACCCTATTCTCATCTTCAGTGTCACTTTTTTGGTTCCCTCTTCTATTCTACTTGCAGTGTGTTCCTGTAAATTTAGTTTAATTTCATTACAATCCTTAAAAATGCATTAACTCTCTGCATTTAATGCTTCTACTGCATTAAAAACACTAAAAAATATATGAATATGCACATTTTGTTAGTTTCTAAAGTTTTCCTGCGGGACACATGATGTCTCCTACTTGTACTGTAAACTTTCTATATAGTCCAGTCTCAGTGTATGTGCAGTGATGGCACACAGTTTCTACATCACACTAGTATAAGTTGCATACTGGACCAGCACAGACATGCTTAAAAGGCTCCTTAAAATCAGAATTTCCTTGAGCACAGAGAAACATTTTACTTTCAGCAGAATAACAGATACATACAGACACCCAAGTAATAAATGGTAAATGCACTGTACTTATCTAGCACGTTTCTAGTCTTCCAACCACTCAAAGCAATTTCACACTACATTCTACATTCACACATTCATACAGCGATGGCAAAGGCTCATCACAAACTATTCATACACTGATGCACAGCACTGGGAGTATTTTGCTCATGGACATTTCGACATGCATTGGGAGGAGGAGCCGGGGATCGAACCACCATCCTTCTGATTAGTGGACCACCCGCTCTCCAACAACAACAAGCGAAACATATTTTTGAGGGTGGGGGTCCTTAAAGAGAACTTAGGTCTTCTTTTCATAGTTCTGACACTTTTATACTAGAGCTGAAACTACCAATCACAAAACTGTCCACTAATATTAAGAGTAGTGCTATAACTGCATTCACAGACTTCATCTGTATCCTCTCACTCTCAGCACCGTGCCTTTATCTGCTCCGACCCATTTGGCTTCACTTTATTAAATTCCCATAAGAGGTGTGGCTCCACTTGGGTTAAATAAGACACAGCTGCCCCTTTCCATTTCACCCATGCCTTATCGATTGAGAGCCAGTCACGGCTGCTGCAGGAGTGAGGAAGGAGAGTTTCAGGCAGACTGAGAGGTGATGAAAGAAGATAGCGTCTGCAATTCTGGCAGAGGGAAGAAATTACGGAAATGTAGTGGTCAAAGTGCACTGCCATTTTCTGCTCTCACTGTCCATTCGATAAAACACAGATAAGGACAATCAGGTCACTGTCTATCGGCTTTAGGTGAAGCATACTCACCCTGCTCGCAGTATATTTTCTTTCTCTGAATGTCATTACTTTTAAATCATAATGCATAAGAAAGAGCAAAAAGTACCAATCATCTAATAGTTAATATGATAATAATTTCTACTTTCTAGCTTTTCTTTAAATTCCATCCCTACTATGTACCAGAGCTTTTCTTCTTCTTGAGTTATTAGTTGTTATTTAGCTCTTCTACATTTGTGATCAATTTAAGGACAGAAGGATAATAAGGATATTTCTTAAGTTATCCAATTTGAGTTTAGTTTAGTTTCATTGATTTTCTTATTAATTCTTTATTTATTTTCTGTCTATGAAATGTCACAAAATACTAACAAAAATCTGATTATGTCTAAGAGCATTAGATGACATCTTCATATTGCTTGTTTTAATCAACCAACAGTGAAAAATCCAAATATATTGTTTCAGCAAGATATTACAGTCAGGCTTGGGGAGCAACGGATTACATGTAACTGAGTTACATGATCAGGATACAAAAAAGGAAACTGTAATCCATTACAGTTACAAAAACATAGACGTAATCAGAGTACAGTTACATTTAATAAAAATGGGGATTATTAGCAGGATTAGAATTTTAAAATTCACTGTGCAGAGGACATATTGTTCTCTTATTTTGATTTCCATTTTCTTTTTCTAAAGATACAGTGTTCTGTTGTTTTATATATTGTCATACTTGCATTAGGTTACTGACTACATACAATTGTATTGGATTACATTAAAGTAACCCTCCCAACCCTGATTACAGTAACATATATGTTGGTTTTTTTGGTGGTACTCACAGGGTGTGGTCGTTTATAGGACGGTGATACTGCTCTCCGTTATGAATACTCTCCCCTTGGTCGGCGATCCAACGAAATGTGTGGATTGGGACCAAAGAGGAGTCGACGCTCTTCCAACCACAAGTATCACTGCCTTCAAAATGGCACCGTTCCTTCACTGGAGAAAGAGAAAGGTAAATGAGTAGAGAAGGCAAGAAACCAAGGGAAAGAGAAAGACACTGTGAAGAAAATCACAATCAAAGCTTCCTATGTAGAAACTCTGAGAGAAGAAACATGTTTTACCACAGTGCAGTTCATCTGAGCCATCAGAACAGTCCTGTCTGAAGTCACACACTTTGCTGTTGGCAACACACTCCCCATGTGCCCCACAAACAAACTCTCCATCAGGGCAACTGTGGGGCTGAACTGTGGGAGCTGGAGGGGTCACCACAGGGGTTGTGTTATTCGCTGTGGGGAGCTCTCCTGGAACAAGAGAGGGTAGAAAACACAAATCAACAAGGGACATTAGGGACACTGCATTAAAAAGTTAATATTTTCTGTCATGGCATGATCATTTACCCTCATATGGGTTGCAGTTCAGGAAGGAAAGGTCATCAATCGCAATGTCTCCGTTAAAATCATCTCCAACTGTACCTTCAATTAAAATCTGGCAAAAGGGGAAAATAAACCCAAAAAAATTAGTTACATACAAAACCAAATCAACAAAATAATCCCAATTCTAGGATACCTGTGCTATTGCTTTCTTTTCTAATACTTAACTAAGTGTTAAAGTGGATTTTCTGTTTCCCTGCCAGTAATCTTTGCTACATACACTGAATTTTAAATTTTTCTCCCAGCTTTCAAATGCACCAAATCATCAGCTCAATGATTGCGTCAGATAAGTTTGTGTCAGCGGCAGCCACCAGGTCTGTTGACTTTGTGTTATTGCAGAGTGGAACATAGTTTGGAAATATTGAACAAAGAGAGACAGATATTAGCTTTCAAGCAATGCAATTCAAATCTCAGAATTAATAAATGTTTTCTCCTGATAATGTTGTTACTGTAGTAATCAGCCCAAGACAAAATAGGCATATCTAATAAGCAAGAAAAGCCTGTTTAAATGTTTATTTGAAGCACTATCTGAGGAAGAGGCACCATGTGAGTTTGTAGGATTTTTTTAGATGTCACATCAACATGATTCAAGCAGTTTAGCAAACACACGTTTTGAAATATTTTTCTAATAATCAGGCATTTCCAATTGCTTGGCAAACAGCTCATCTTGGAAACAATTTAATGATCTTTTATGGTGCTAAGCTCATTGTAGCTTTCTCCATGCATTTTTTATGTTCTTTATTACTTTAATACGTATACTGTGTGTGTATATATACTGTACCGTGTACACACAACATGCCTAGGGTGAGTCCGAATTTAATGCATCAGTGTCTCTTTTTTGTTCACTTTTACCCTTTCAGCAGTCAATTAACTTGGCAAACAGAGCTCCTTGTTTTCAATGCCGTAATGGAGGAAAGTCTTTAACTGCCTGTCAAGTTGTACTCACTCATGAGTAATGACAGCAGAACATCCATCTTGAGGTATCGATGTCAAGCAGCGAAGCTATTAAATAGATCTTCATCATGTAACACTGTACTGCACACTAAATACAGACTCTTTGCTTCACTAGAGTTTCATTGTTGCCTGCTGGGGAGCTGTGTTTACCTGTAGCTTATGTCTGTCTTTGATTACACAAGGGGGCCGAATGCAAATGATTTAGAGTGGGATGTGACGTGACTACAAGTGGTATTATAATACCACTTAACCAGTGTTGAAAGTAAATACATTTTCTCATTCACTGTACACACATATTTTGTAGGTACATTGCTCATTTACATTTCATAGGGAAATGTTTTACTTTCAATCAACTACATTTATTTGGGCAAATAGTTGCTTTGCAGATTAAGACTTAAAATATAATGTTTTGTAACAAATTAAATGACCCAACAGTATATAATAAAATCTAAACAATTCAAAAACATATACAGTTCGCTAAACGTGGCAATTCTGTGAAGTTAAACTGGAGTATTCTGGTGAATGCAGGATTTGTACTTACAATAGTAGTATTTTTAGACTTTAGTATTTCACCTGAATACGTCCTCCATCATGGTTTGAACTTAAATGATCAACTCGTCTTCATGGTCAATGAATATATCTGCAAACATATTCTGTCTTTCTGCTCATTGCAAAGTGAGAAAGCACGTCAGATGACAGAAAGAGTCTTATTCTTTAAGGCAGAAGCACACCTTCCACCTTTCAGATCAGTTAGTAGAGCAGATAGTTACCTGGAAAGGCCGAGCGCTGTTGAGGTAGAGAGTCTTCCTGTGCCAGAGGTTTCCTTGGTCTCCATATCGTACCCATAGCATGTGCCCACGGCCTGTAGAGGTAGTCCTGATGTACACTGCCAGGCAGAAGACGTGCGAGCCGAACATGTGGTAATGGAAGCGGAACACACAGTGGTGGTGGGACCTGGACGGGTCTTTGCCACGCTGGTGGGTGGGTTGGAAGACTCTGCTCAGCAACACAGCTGTGTCCTTGAACTCCTGAGGAAAGGAGGACTCGATGTAGAGGTAGTGCCCGTAGCTGGTGCCCAGTGTGTGGTCCTTCCAGGGCCCTGTGTTAAAGGTCGGAGTCGGGCCTTGGATGCGGGTCCAGTCAAACACATCTCCTCCACTCTGTTCTTGCTTCCAGCTGCACAGCCCACGCTCAAAGTTACACTGGAACTCTGGAGCTGTGAGCCGTGACAGGAAATGGATTTCAATGGAGCAAGAAAACAATATAAAGCCTCACAGACAGCTGCACTTGATTGCAGCAACATAAGCTTCACAAGCAGGAATAGAAACATTTCTACTCTGCTACAGTTAAGAGGGAAATATTGTACTTTTACTTCCACTACAGTAGTTTTACACACCAAGCATATGAGATCAAAAAATATGATGCACTTTTATTGCTTTAACTACTCTACTGACACCACTTAAAACCGTAAAATGATACTTACACATGAATTCATCAGTTATAATAATTCACAAATAATAATCAACCACAGGGGATTTTTTTCTGCATTATGAGAACTTTTACTTTTCCATTTTGCAGTATAGCTACTTTTGCTAAAAATAGCACTGTGCTGATTTGAAATTGTCAGATTCACGATGGACAATTGTGCACATTACCCATAATACACCTGGGTTACCAACAGTTTGGTATAAGTTTTGGGTGTGCTGAACTATGTCGCCTCGGGTCACTAGTCTCAAGCAGAGATGCAGGCTATAGAGGTTTGGCAAGCTCACTTTCTAAATCCACACCCCAAGATTTGTTGGCATTTTTCAACTTGTAGTCTAACCCTAACCCTAACACTGACACGGACTCAAGGGACATCACTTGAGGTAATTTAATCAAATTTCTGGAGCCACAAAATGCTTTATATAACAGTTTTTTCAAAATGCAGTTGTATACAAAACCTGTAAACCTGTCAGAGCTCCTATTTAAGTAAAAGAGTATTTCTTCCACCAGCGAATATTTACAACCAAAAAAGACACTCACAACATCCCTCCTCGTCGGATCCATCCCCACAGTCATCCACAAGGTCACAGAGCTGCAGGTGCTCCACACACGCTTTGGTACTCGCACAGTGGAAATGTGTGTGCGCGGGACACTCCACCACTGCCGGGGGCATCGAGCAGTTCTTGAAGGTGACATCATCCAAGGCGGAGACGCCATCAAACACACCGAGGCTGATCTTAGCCAGAGCAATCTGGAAGGGCTGGGTGATGCGTCCCAGCTGTACGGTGACCTGGTTCCAGCGGGTGCCCTGGTCGTACAATGTCCTCCATATGACAGTGTTGTTTTGGACTCCTTTGATTCGAAGGTACATGTCTGCAGCTCCCACAGATATGCCTGAGTTATAATGCCTGAAGGAAAGGAGGGAGAGAGTCTAACGTGTGCATTTTTTGGTATAATACTTAATTATTTCCTCACAACAGATACTAGAAATCACAGATCGCATAGCTTACTAGACATATTATATGAGGGCTGTTACTCTGCCAGGAGTACACCTACAATCAACTTGTGGAAAAAAGTCATGTCATTTGATGTGAACTTTTAGGGGCTGTAAGACAGATTCAGATGCGTATTTTCTCTCTGTGTTTGACTGGGAAATAAGAGAGATGCTAAGACAGCAGAGCTGAGACAGGTGAAATGATGGTTGGAGGAAAGGGAGAAAGATCAAGAAAAATACAGAGGAAGAGACAGCAAATGGAAAGAGTCTGAAATTGAAGGTGTATCTACAGATGCGGGTTATGATAACGAGTCATGTTGAACAACTTTATAGAGGGTAAAGAAGTAAGTAACAGTGTGTCTCTCACCAAAAGGTCATTGTGCACCCGGAGGCCGATTGTCTGAACCAGGGTCCTCTGAGAACAGCCCTCGGGAAAAGACTGCTACTGTTCTTCAGTATAAACATAAAGTGGCCTGCAGTGAGTAAGACAACAATTACTATTCAAAACATATTCAGCGTCTACTTTATTAAACACACCCACATTGGTGCAAACAACTTGTTCCGCCAAACAGTGAATCACATTTAAAAGAGATAAAGCTGTTACGGATGCAGACAGTCGAGAGGCTCATTTACTATTCGACTAAACGCCTTCTCGTGTTGTTGTTGGTGCCAGATGGGTCAATTTCAAAACCTCTCCCTCTGGGATTTTTTGCATGACAATACCTAGTGAGTATATTAAGAATCATGAGGTAAACAAAACATATCCTGTTGGCTGCCGTTGCCATGCCAACAGTGTCTTGTTGATGAGACAGGTCAGAGGACAGTGGCAAAGGTTGGTTTGCTGCAAACAGCTGCTCGGTGCAGCAGCGATGTGCACGCAACTCATCAAACCATGCTGGGTTCAGCTCCTGCCAGCAAGATGCAACCTTCTTATAAACAAAGGGTTTAATGTTTGGCAGGCAGGGTATGAACAGTGCAGCCATGGATTAATTCAGCCTGATGCTTTACAGTATGAGGTGGTGGTGTGACGGAGCAGGAGTGGTTTCTTTGCTCCTATTAAGAGATAAGAGACGTTTATTTGTCACATGCACAGTTATACATAGTACAATGCACAGTGAAGTTAGGCCAAACAAGCACTGTTTGAACACCGCCACATGCCTACACACTGTTTGAGACAAGATCTTTGAGTGGTCACAATCACTTTTGTACAATCTTCAAACAGATGCTCCCACCAGGATATGTGCCACAATATGAAGAAGCTGCACATGACAGAGACTTCAGTTCGCTGCCTGCACAGTTTCCCAATCTGAAACCTAACCGAGCATCTTTTCCCAGCATGTTCAAACAATGTACATAACAAAACAACAGATGGTCCTGCAAAAAAACACTGCATGACGTTATCAAGTAAATGTACAACAAGATTCCTGGTTAAATACATAAATACATAAGAGATAAATATTTTCTAGAGGGTAGACGTAGAGAAAATGTGGAGTATAAAGATGTAATGAGGCGTAATGTACAGCAGAATGTCATGGTGCATAAACCTAGGAGAGGCTAATGGGGTTTCAGTGTGAGCATATTGTATATTTCAGTGAATGATGTGGTGTTAATATGCAGAATGGGTACAGCGTATGACGATTTCTTTTCTATTATTCAGATGGCTGAGAAGGCATTTCTCCATTAAGTGCTTATCTCTCAAAATCACCCAGTGAATGGATTTTCTTTCCAACTGTGAAACCTTGATTTGATCTGTACATAATACTATCTTTTTCTAGTTATTTCTGACCAAACACCCTGTACGCAGTGAAATCATCATCATATTTTTATTCTTACCCCATTGATCGACGACGGTAACTGCATTATTGCGGATGGAAGCTACTGAAATATGTGGTGTGTTGGTTTTTTTTACCCTCTGTGCTGTTTGTGGAGTGATCCAGAGGTGGTGGGTGGCCATAATAGTGTGGAGGTACCTCCACAGAAGAGCCCCTGACCCAGTCGAAGCCATCGCCAAGGGTGAGCTCGTACCAGCCACAAGAACCGCCCTCAAAGTTGCACTCAGAGGCTGAATGAGTAGAGAGATAGGGCATTTTCTTAACAAAGCGGAGACTGGAAATCCATTCTTGACCTTGAAAACAGCATTTCCCACAACAGTCTCACCTCAAGGCCCATTAGTAGCTGCGCTGGAGCTTTAGATCACATTATAAGATCCTCAGCAGATGGAGTTTTCCTAGTTGAATTTCCCTTTTTCTGAGCACAAAGTACATTCTTTAGGGTATACCGACTGAACAGCTACATATGGACCCTGTGGTGAGATTGTTGTGTCAACTGCTCTAAATTGAGGAATAGATTTTCTATCTCAACTTTTAAACCAACATAGACGTAGACATAGGAGTCCCTGCTCAGAATAATGGAAATTTGAACATCTGCAGTTTCATGACAACTGGGTAAACTCCATCTGCTGAGGAAGATTGTGTGGAGGCTGTTAACTCTCCCAGTTTAAATCCTCAGTACAAGAGATAAAATATCTGTAAATATTTGGTTCCTTGATTAAAAAAAATCTAATATACAAGCCTTTGTGCATTAAAACTTCTGCAGGATTGAGTTTAATTTTGGCAAGAAACATCCAATCACAGAGCTTGTTAGATGCATTGCTAATGGTAGATTACACTATTGAAATAACAACAGTTTAAATTGATTCACTTTGGATTCTGGGTCTATTTTGCATTAATTCTGCAACTATGGTGCTAGGTTTTCACAAATTCAGTGACAAAGCGTTTTGAATTCACTGTGGCTCTCTGACTGGCTTCTTCTCCACAGCAACAATAAGCCAAGGCTCATGGGTATTGTAGTATTCGGAGACAAATATATATAACAATGAATGTATGTAAGGTAACCATGAGGATATCACTTAAAGAAAATGTGTAAATTTAAATAAAGTTTTCAAATTCTGAATAAACGCACTTGCTGGGATCTATTTATCAGCGTACACTGACAAAACAAGTTTTAAAATAACAAATAAAAATAGACCGAACAATAACTACTGGGGAAGTCATTGAATGCGTCGTCAACCATTGTCGTCACACTGTCAGATAAATATAAATCACCAAACTGCTCTCAGTCAACAATAGGAATAGGATGGGGATCATTTGAAAGTGTTACTTGGCAACAAGGTTCTTACGGCAGTTGGCTTCGTCCTCCCCATGGGGACAATGTGGGGTGAAGTCACACACTTTGCTCTCCTCGATACACTCCCCAGTGTCGCAGGCAAACCTCGAGGGAGGGCAAACAGGAGGAGGGGGCACACTGCTCGCTGCCACAGAAGTAAAAAAATTAAAAGATTAGTATAATCGACATTTTGATGGAGTTACAGTGTTCAGCTGAGAGAGGCCTCAAATCAGATTTTCAGACGCACCAAATACAAAGAGTTATAGTCGTAATCACTGACTCGTATCATTTGATTTTATCATTTAAGAGCAGTTATGGGAGATCATAGCGGATTAATATAGATGAGCTCAGCTGTATTCAGGGACAGTGAAGTACATTAGCTGTGTTGTAGAAGATTAGATTCAACTGTGTAGTAATGAATGAAATTCAGATATTTTGATCAATAGTACATCCAATACACCATCTCTTAAATGAACTCCACTTCGGGCTGCTTATGAGGGAGGAGTCCAGGAAAAGTGAAAAAAATGTCCAAATATTAAATGGTTGTAGTAGCAAACTTTGAAAGTGTTTGAAAGAGATAAACAGACATGAATCTGTCTGATTAGACATCAAGATTAAATATCTGCTAAAATTGTTAATAATAGGCATCAGATTCTTAAGAGTATAGGCCAGAGAGGTCCTGACCCGGCAAAATGACTGGGAATATCAGCTAGGCATATAAAAGGATAATAAATGATATGATGGCCAACTCATTCCCAAAACATGTACAGACACAAAACACCCTTGGAGGCACTTACATATGCAACGGGTGTGATTTATGATAAAAGAGTGTAAAAGAGGCGTTAAACTTCAGCTGAAATTTACAATAACATCTTTCTGTCTTGTTTCCCCCCACGTGCATTTAATCATAAGCCGGTATTTAATGATTATAATTCAATTATTTGTGACAGCGCACTTAATCTGAATTCATTGCTGTTGTGAACCCATAATTCAGTGCAACAAATAAGGATGAATGACATGGTACATAAAGAATCCTCTGTAAGTGACTGTAATGGCAGGTAGTTATAGCGATATTAGATGTGAGCCACATATCAAAACAATATCCTTATCTTCCCTCGCATGTGGTTGTCAGGCTATACAGATGAGTCATGCATAACAACCCTTTGCTGGTGTAGTAAAGTGTTATTGGTAATTTAATGTGACACCCAGTGGTTATTTCTCCAGTGGCTGGAGATCAGGTTGGCTTGAGGTTAGATTGTAGCTCTGCCTTGTGTACTACTCTGAGTCAGGTTTAATTTGTTTTATATGATAATACCCACCTTGGTCTTTGAGGTGTGGAAAATTTCATAAAGCCACTGTTGGGAGCAGGAGGCAGATGGTAGCTAGGGGACCAAGGTGCCAAGGTGATACTGACCTGTCTCATGCACTTAGACATGCTAAACTAGGTCTGGTGACTGTCCAATAGGCTCTTTTGCAGTTTACTCAAATTAAACCTCCAATAATTGATTTTCTTCAGCTAATTTAGGGGCAGCTCAACAAGCTGTGAACAAAAAATGTATGTACACATAATCAAGGGGTTGATCAACTTTTACTATCAAAAGGAGACATTTTGGCCCAAAACAACAAAACTATTCTTTCTTAAGCCACAAAAAATATTTTAATAATAATTTCTCGCTGCAGATCATTGTTGGTGAAAGTCTATATGTTTGGCCACTTACTAAATTCTCTATTTCCCTCTGAGACCTTTCTTTTTTGAGATTTTGGAATCCATAGCTAGCCTAACTAGGGAGACTCAAGACTAGTAGCCACCGCTATTGAGGGTCAACAAAACAAACAGGAAAGGCATCAGGCCAGGACGTAACATGTGTCATATGTTTCAGTTGTTGTAATGTTTTTAATTAGGTGTGTAATGGCTACACATTTTTACATTTGGAGAATGTAATAATCACTCTAGGCCTACAGCAATGATAAGTGACAATTTTATATAATTGTTTGTCAAAGTCATAGGGAGCCACTCGAGATGGGCTAAAGAGCCACATGGTTGCCCTGAAAGAGTAATTTGATCTATTGTTAATATAGAAATATTAATTATAGTCTCTTGACTTACATCTCTGGTCATTGTACAAACAGAAATAATCTATATGGTTCAATGAAACCTCAGTGGGTAAAGAAACACTGGTTTTCCACAAGTACCGTCAGACTGATTGACAGACAAGATATCTAGCATGAACCAACAGGAGTCAAAGTAGAAAACTAAATAAATTATCTAGGTTAGACAACTTGCTTGCAGACCTTCCATGGTCATTAATGAATGAACGAGGAACGAGGAATTGTTTCTGACTGGCTAAAACATTTAGGTCCAAACATCATTAAAAAACTTCAGTGCTAAGGCAGACCACTGACATTGAACTCAAACCTGTGACATGAATTCTGTCTATAGAGCAACTCTGTCTGCACTCTGGCCTTGATGCTCCGTTGGGAGAAAGAGACCTTAAAAAGCTGAAGGCCACAGGTTGTAGCCCAAACAAGAGAATCAATAAAGAAGGTTCAACTCTTGTTTTAAAGGCAGAGAGCAGAACATCATCCTATATTGGATGAATAATAGCAGTTGTAAAGATGCTGTAGTTTGTGCTTGCAGCTGAAATACCTGTATATCACCAACGTGTAAAAATTCTGTCTAAAACGCCAAGTGGACGGTGCTTTATCAAACGCTCCCAGCCAAGATGTTTAGCTGTATCACATTCATCACTAAGGTGCAGGCAGCACACTGTAGCAGACATAAATAAACCCATAGATTGTGGCACTGACTGTGCTCCATATTCACTGCAGGAAAATGTGTCGTAAGCACAATTTTAATGATTCAGTTATTCTGTTATGAAACTCATCCTGGGTGCTTTAATGTCTTCCCCAGTTATCAGTATTCAAAACAAGTTTGCAGCCATCTGTTTATGTGTGGCGATATTTCAAAATGTCAAGGTCTGAACTTATTCCCGTCTGTGTAGTGAGATGTTATTAATGGTAGCAGTACCAGGCACAGTCACGCAGCCGGGGCTGAAGGATAGGTCATCGATGGCCAGGACCTCGGAGGCTTCGCTGTCAGCTGAAAGTTGCCCTCGAATCAGCACCTGGTAGACACACAGAAAACCTTTTATTTGGACACAATATGTTGTTTTTGTGTATTTTGGCTCTGCAGTGTGTGTTTGAGCTAAATACAAACACCAGCATGTTTAAATGCTTATAATGGCCAAAAGGGTAAATGCAATGACATACTGTGTTATAGGGTCTGACCAAGTGTTTTAGATATACTGGATCAAAAGTCTGTCAGCCATAAATCTTTGTATTGGCAAGAATCTGATCACAATACACTGGTTTTACAATTAAGTTAAAATAAAAATTGTAATTTATTGCGACTTAATTAATAATACTCAAAAAAAGCTTAATTAAGCTTGAAGAGGACAGAGCATATCATGTTGGTTACTTAACTAATTGAGTTAGTCTAGTTAACTATAAAAGTCTCATAAGATGAACTTTATAATCACTGAGTTGGAATTACTTTAAAAAGTCTATGCTAATTGTGTATTCTCTTTTTAGAGTGTACAGGGGTTACGATTCAATATATACTAACATATTGAAATCTAATTTTAGGAAATTTAAGATTGCATAAAGAACACACCATCATATGCATAGAATCTGAGTTAAAAAATTACTTTTTCATTGCAACCAGAACAGTTGGATAGCCCTTAGTCTCAAACTGTGTCTACGCAATCTGCACTTCAAACTGTACGTCAATATGAAAAAGATTTTTAATAAGTGATTTAAAAGAGATAGTTTTGCAGATATTTGGTCATTGTACCAAATAAAATTCTGATCACTAAAGTTATTGCAGTTTACCCTGAAGAAGATGTGAATGTGTGTACCAAATCCCCCTCAGAGTACCAAAGTCAGTTGGCATTGTCATCTGGGAACCATCAGTGTCTAGTGCAACATGTTGTGTCAATCTATCGAATAGTTGTTTATTTAGTTCAGTTACAGACACACATTGCATTCCCCAGAGACACGATGCTACCTAGCTAAAAACATCCCATTTCCTCTGATTGTCACAGTGCTAATAATATCAAAACTGCACTGATCAAAGTCCATAGAACAGCTTTATCTACTCCAGTGGAGTTTTATAGCCCATCATTTATGACTGATCTAAACAAATGGTGGATTGTGTCATTGTGTGTGATGGGAAAATGCACTCAATACACAATTTTCATTGCTCACGCATGTCAGCTGATTTTTCTTTTTCCCCCCAAAACTGGACTTTGAGGCCATAAAAGTAATACAATCTATGGGATGAGGGTATGTAACTGTTTATTTAGGATTTCAAAGCCTAAACAGTGTTTATCTGATCCAGACAAAGTACCCTCTCTCTCAGAAAATCCTGGGTATTTGTATACACAGTCCCTCATTGTCAGTAGAGCCAGCTCTACGAAGTACTCCTTTGTCATCTCATTGATAAGATTTTCAGTTTTTGTTTAAAACTTAAGGTCCAATGTTTGCATATGCATATTGTATTTTATGTGCCCAAATGTTGATAAAGCTGTTCAAAGAAAAGAGTTTTCTACAACACAATTAGTAAAAACCCTGGAGGGAGAGAGGTGAAAAAGTGCAGATCATTAAGCAAACGGATTAAAATTGAAATCACCCGGAATCACTGTGGTAAATAAAAACCCAATTAACTCAACTGCCTTAAAACAGGAAGTAGATTAATGGAGGGGAAAGTGATTGTTGGCAGAGAGTTGACCTCTCTTTACCCCCGACGCTGGTTCAGCCATGTTATGAAACCTAGCTGGCTGCAGTCAGTGACAGATGGTGATGGCAGAGAAGAGGAAAGGGTGACACGCTGACATTGTATATAGGATATAGCACAGGATATAGGAAGGACACGAACAGCAGGCTTCATCGGACTCCAGATGGCCTCTGAAGGGTCCAGTTGGGGCCGTACCCCCTCACTGCACATAAATGGCTCCTGTTGTGCAGCTCATTTCTGCTGTGATGACTTTATCCTTTTCGAGGAAACTTATATTGTATATCTTAACATGCAATATAAATATCAATAAATGTTAATGTAGTATGATTTAATAAGGTGAAACATGGGGCAATAGTGTAAGAGTGGTATAGTATAAATATATATATTTTATTAAGTATACATCTTGATAAAAATATGGTTATTATTTGGTATTATCAGCAAATATGGAGCAACAATTCATCCATGTAGAGTCGTGTTTCTGATCCCCTAATGGATTTAAGTTCAATATTCACTCTCCTTTTAGCTCTGCTTTAGTCGACAGTAGGTAACTGCTAACTGTCTATGTGCAGTTTGGTTTATAGAGGTTTTTTTTTTTTTACCAAAACTGCTGCCTGTTGCTGAAGATATGGTTAACAAGATACATGAGCTGCTTTAAGACTTTTTTATTTTATTAAAGTATAGTGATAATAGTGTCAAGTGAAGAAAAACCTATATACACTAGCTGGTTACAGTATGTACTCTTTATACTACTTGTATAATTATTATACAAGAAATCTGTGTACTGTAATACAGTATATTACACTATCAGCACTTTCTTCCAGGTCACAGGTGTATGGGGGCACTATTCAGGGTGTGTACCCTTGATATGGTAAGGTTTTGTTTTTAAAACATCTTATTTCAAGCTAACACAAAAGCTTCCAAAACAGAATATCATCCTTCTGGAGTATTAGATCAGAAATATGAGAGTAAAGAAATGAAGCGTCCTTTGGGTTTATGGTTATATATATATTGGACATTAAAGCTCCAGTGTGTAGGATTTAGTTGCATCCAGCTAATGAAAAAATACGCATATTATAATTTTGCCAATAGATCCTTTTAAATGTTAAATAAATGTTACACACTTGACTTTCAACAAAACTGACTGGAAAAGTCTGAAGTGACTAAAGTCAAGGTGACATAGTAGTGGGTTATGTGAAATAGATGTAACAGACCTCAGAGTGTAATTAATTGGCTAACCAGACTTGAGATAAGATGCAACATTACACTAAACCATAATACACCATGATATATGTATTATATATTTTACAATATCAAACAGCAATTAAATCTCATTACGGTAATTTTTTTTATGTTACAGACCTGAAAACTGTCATTGCTGGAAAACTTAATCACCGTCCGCAGCCACATTTCCATCTGTGGTTGTGTGGAGTTTCCCCACACCTCTGCACTCTGAGTATGAGACTGAACCCAGACCTGAAGACCACCATGCTTTGCCCCGACATAATGGTAGAAGCTCATCTGTTGGATGAAAATCCAAGAAAGATATCACCATCTGTTGTCATGTTGTTGTTGATGTTTTTTCTCTGCATGCCAAATGGAGGATTTTGTTACCTGGCACGTCTGACTGGGCAGGAAGACAGGACTGGTCAGTTCTGCTGTGGTTATGTTTCCTCTGACTGGTAAAAGCGACAGGAAATGTGCTAAAGGAGAGAGAAAAGGGTCGGGATTCATGCATAGAAAACTATGAATAAAACTCAAATGGATTTACACTATGTCGCAAATGTCAAACCTGATGTGTTGTTGGCGTGATCATGTTTAAGTCCCGGGATCTCAGTCGTTCTGGTCCAATTAGAGAGCGACTCTGAGCTCTGGATCAGGTCACAGAATCCCTCCTCAAAGTCACACCTCTTATATCTGGAGCCTTCAACAACAATGACAACAACAAAAAACACACTTTTATGTGCTCTTTTGTGTTTCAGCCTGAATATATATTTCACCACTAATCTGTGTATTGGGATTAAGCTTTGGGTTCTACACACTATAAAGATTCATCAGCTCAGCGGAGCTCAGAAACTGAGTGGTTTCTCATTTTAAGCAGGGACTCTTATTTGGCTTTGGGACCAAATGAGCAACAAGGGAATCTATAAAGCATTAATGATAATACTGATATTTAGGTATGCCACACAGGATCCGTAGTGATGAAGAGTTGAATATCTTCACAGGAGCCTCTTGTGTTTTAATTTACTTGCCCTTTTTGGCTGCCATTATAAATAAGTGTACTATGTGAATATTGTGCACATTTGGCTGTTTTTGTTGAGTGTCCAAGCCACTGTTAAACATCCATTCAGATCTATACATTTTTCATAATTGATTTTATTTAATTGCTTTTTGGGATAATAAAAAAGTATATGTTTTGTCCTGTGTAGCACGTTGTCCTCTCTGAACCACATCTGCTTATTTGCACTGTGTGTACAACATTTTATTGTACAGTTTGTCTGTATTTAGTTATTTACTTATAATTTATAGCCTTAGGAGTAGCAACCCTGCATTTTACTATACTATATATAAACTTTGTTTATGTGACAATAAAACCTTTGATTTCTTGAATCCTTGAACTACCAAACTATTAATTATAGCCTCACAAAACAAAGAAAACAGAAACAAACAAGGTACAAATACACGTAGTCTGCCCATATTTCATGTGTACACTTCAAAAGCAATATGAAAAAAAGTCACAGTTTTAAGTTTGTGTTGCTGTAGGGCTCACTAGAGAGACACAATATGGCATGTTTTTATCTGTAAAGAAATGTAAAACCTGCTACCTCCCAAGGTAAAAAAAGGACATCTTTTAGTAAACTATAACTGTATTATTGTGTATTTGATACTTTTAGTACATAATTTGTGACCTGAATCTGAAGTGTAAGTCAATTAAACATCATTCATTTATCATTAATGAACATTTAACTAATTTATTCAGATTATTTACATGAAAGCAAGCCGTATTTAAATAATGTATCATGTACTTTGAATGACTAAACAGGAACTTAAAATACTGTAGTAATTAGGCCAAGCAACAGTGCTTCCACTATTGTAAGAGGGAAATGAAAACTAAATGACCTCAAGGAAGAAAAGCTGTTAATAACAAACAGATTAGAAGAATAATAATGTCCTTTATGCTAGGCATGTATTATCCTGTGTGGTTACAAGCTCTGTATGGTTGTTTTAAATCTGTTATTTTTTGGGTGAAAGACAAATTTCTCATTTCAGCTGGAAATTGGCTCAATGGTCTTCAGTGAGCTGCCATAATAGTACATCACATATAACACAGAAACCCTGCACACCTCCTATATAGAGAGGTAGTTCACTCTCCATGTCAGTGACAATGCTCTGATAATGTTGCTTTCACTTGCTTATTCACACAAACAGTGAGCAGCATTGTGAAATATCTGTACCTTTCTCTAACCTACTCTGTTTCACATTCTCTTAATATAATTCTAATTAATATACTGCTTTACTCACAGTCTTCCTCGTCGCTGCCATCTCCACAGTTGTCGGTGAAGTCACACACGCAGTCCTCAGGCACACATAACTCCTGAGAGCAGCTAAACTCCTGAGTTGAACAGGCTCCGACAGACACAGGGGGAAACACCAGAGAGAAGGCCAACAGCAGCCACACCGAGTCCAGCAGCAACATCATCAGCCTGGTTATTGTTTGTCCTTTAACTTGATCGCCTTCTCTTCACCACCAAGTAAAGCATTTTGTTGTTAGGACATAAGGAAGAACTTCTGTCGAGGTAGAGATTTTCTTGACGGCGTAGTTTACTTGGATCTTGGATTGATCCTGTGTTAAGCTGTTAGCATGTTGTAAAGGGTAATAAATGGCTTTTATGGCTCTTGCTCAATGAAGTCACTTTTCTGGCCCGTGTGTTCCTGTATTTAACATGGACCTATGTCATTTTGAGAAGGAAGAAAGGAATACGTTCCTCAAAAGTGAGGACATAATGTCTAGAAATGTGTTTATGCTGCAGTTAAGATTAAATTTAAATATGCTTATTTGCTTTCTTGCTGAGACTCAGCTGGAAAGATACAACTCTCCTAACTGTGAAGCCACCACAAACAGCCAGTTAGATTATCTTAGTTTAGCATAGGGACAGTCTGGTTTAGTCCAAAAATAACAAAATACACCCAACAGCAACTCTAAAGTTCACTAATTAACACGTTATATCTTCTTAGTTTAAGTTGTACAAAAACTAAAGTGAAATTCTTCCCATCTAACTCTTGGCAAGAAGAGAATAAGCATAATTCTCCCAAATCTCAAGCGATTTCCTTAAAACTAGGATTTGGGATTGTATCAATTTAAATTAAGCTAAAATCTAAGTATACTAGAGCAGTTTATAGTAGTGAACAGTGAATGAAGCATCCTCACACCGTTATAAATCAGAGGGAAACAAGTCTACTGCCTGCTAGCAGCTCTGTGAGGCTGTATTTAGTACAGCAGTGCTTTCAGATAATACCAGCATACTAATAATGATAATGCTAACACACAGCTGTTTAGCTGGTATAATATTTACCATGTTCGCTATCTGAACCGTATTTTAGTATGCTAAACGAGCTACAATTAACGCAAAGTACAAACCTTGATTACATTACAATTCACCCAGAGAGAAAAATGAATGTGTCTACCAAATTTCCTTGCAACCATGGACATCTGTGCCAAATTCTATGGCAATCCATCCAATAGTTGTTAAGATATTTCAGTTAATGGACTGAATGACATTGCCAACCCAAGAGCCATGCATGGCTAAAAATCAATAATTGGTTAGGTGTCTGTGTTTGTGTCTGTATATAATGTGTATTATGCACCTATTTACATTCTTATCCTTGAGCACAAAGGGCTTTTGAACAACTTCAAACTCATAATTTAATTGCAAAATGATGTCCGTCTGTGCAGGTGGAAACAGTCTGCTGTTTTCAACAAGATAAAACACATTAGATCGAACTAATTACAAGTTGGTAGATTGAACACATAACAAGGGAGAGAAGAGCTGAGGTTGGGAATATGAACTGCTATAAGAGGATCATTAACTGTGTCCAACAGGGCTCAGCTCCACTTTACAGTGAGGCATAATTTCATTTCACAGCAATCAATAAAGACAGGACCTTAAAACAGACAAGCAAAGAGCCAGTACAAGAGCGAGTGTAGTTCAAATGAAATTAACCTTGAGAGAAAAGGCGAGCTCGACAGCTCCATGGGGGACGAGGGACCAATGGAACAAGGAAAAGATCACGTCTGTATCGACCTCTACTGGCAGTGGTAGTGAGAGTATACAGAGTGCAGCTGGTAGCGTGTGGAGACAATACCACATATAGTGCAGAAGGCCACAGGTTTAAATGTGTCCTGTTGAGTTGTTGTTTCCAAATGCCAAACCTCAATCAGTCAGATTTTGAATAATAGTGTTAGGATGCAAAAATACACGGGATGGGAGGAAATTTGAGGTCGGGATGATAACATACTAATCATCTTGTCCCAATTTTAACATATGACAGGAAGGTGCAAGAGTACAGAATAGGAACGTGGTCAATGATGGTGACTCATAACCATAATTAGCTGATCTCGAACAAGGGGGAGTCATTAACATCTGCCGGCAAGAGTCGAGCTAACAGGGCAACACAAATCTGACTTCAATGTTCAGTAAACAAATCTTGGGAGTCCATTAAAGATAATTATTTTCATTCAGACACATAATATTCATACTCACATAAAGCATATTCTGAATATCCTGTTTAGGAAAATGTGGTCCTAAAAAGAGACTAAAGGGTCTATAGCCATGCTAGTCTACATGCATGCTGATGGTGAGCTGGTAATGTTCACAATGTTCACCATCTTCGTTTATTGTGTTAGCATGCTAACATCCGCTTATTAGCACTGAACTCAAAGAACAGATAAAGCTTAAAAGTCGAAATAATTACTTTAGAAGAGAGCATTGGTGAATTTCATGGATGTGGATGAAACCAATTGGTTAGAATGACGCAATATCCTCAAGATTCAGTGCTGGTATATTTTCATGGGAGTTGTAGTTTTTGACATGCTAATGCAACATTAATTAAAATCACGCATTTTTCAACTTCTAATAGCAAGTGATGTAGTGAATTCTGATTCATCACGAACCTCTGGAACAACAGTTTCTTCTTTATTTCTTGTTCTCAATGAGAGATTGCACTAAGTTACATAAGCTAGTTGAGCTAAGTAGCCACAAAGTGACATCGGGACTTCAAAATCAAAATTCTTATCTGATAATGATGCTGGATGAAAAGTCAGAGATTATCAAAGTTATTGAAGTTAATCCTGAGAGGGACAATAATATCTGCACCAAATTTCATGGAAATTCATCTAGTAGTTATCAAGACTCCTTGTCAAGCTTCTGGTGATGTTCGAAGAAAACCAAAACCAGTAAGATTCATCCTCTGGGAAACATTAATGTCTGTACAAGATTTCATAAAAATCCATCCAATAGTTGTTGAGATTTTGGAGATTGGACCAAAGTGGAGGATGAAACAACAGTCCGGCATTGCCATCCACAGAGCCAGGCTGCTAGCATGGCTAAAAGGGCACTCCTGTTCATGTATTTCCTCCCTCTTCTGTCCCACAGCTTATGAATTCATAAGAACTCTTGTGATTTAATTCACCTTCATGAGCGAAACAGAGGTCAAAGCAAAGCAGCACTTAAATAAGACAAATTCATCATTTACGTCCCAGGGGCTGGTGTGCGACCACTGCAACCATTTGTCAAAGATTTAAACTAATCTGTTTCACACACATAGTCTTGTACATATTAAAACAAGGATGTGATTACATCCTGTTCCCCTTTCTATCTAGACTGATTGCTAATTGAAATTTTTTGTTAGAAATCTGATTATCTCACAAGTTAGAAAGCCAGGATGCTTTAATACAGTGAAATACATCAGGTTATGCCCTGCTGTAGCAAAGAAACAAAAACAGTGAAAACAATCAATGAAATCTGAATGAAGCACACTTAATGTTCCCAGACATATTTCGATTCAGTAGCAGTAGAAAGGCTGTTGAAGATTCTGTGTGGCTGCATTTTTATTGGAAATGTGGTTCCAGACGAGAAAAAGAAACCAAGTTAAGTTGTGTTGCCTCATCATTCGTCTTCATAATCACTTTTCTCCTACCCTCGCGCCTTTCAGCAGTTTGTTAATTAGAACATATTGACAGCGGAGAACATTTGCATAGCATTTTGAATGCAGCCAATCTGCTTTCACATTATTACTCAGGCTGTGGAAATGTGCAGCACCTGCTAATTTTCGTCCAACCTGAATCCAGTGATTCACTGCCGAGTGAAGTCGTCACAACAGCTGGGGTTTAATCTTAACAGTGTACCTGTAGACGATGCTTCACTCCGCACCTCCAATCAACACAGTAAGAGTAGGAAAATCCATGTCTTGCTGCAATGCTGCCACCTGTCAGTGTTTAAGAAGCACTTATGCTATTTATCTGAAGCCCCTCCAGGCTACCAGATGATTTAGAACAAATCCTTAAGTAAATGTGGCAATACTGTAATGCAAGAGTTGAAAATGCAAAATATACTTAAAGGTGCAGTGTGTAACATTTAGGACGATCTATTGTCAGAAATGGAATATTATATTCATAGGTATGTTTCTTTAGTGTATAATCACCTGAAAATAAGACTTGTGTTTTTGTTGCCTTAGGATGAGGTGTTTTTATCTACACACGCCAACCACAGAGTCCGCCATGTTGAACCACTGCAATAAAGCAATAAATCTGTACTTACAGTAACTTACCTTATTACCAATTGACTTATTGTAGATGACTTGCTTCAGATCAGACTAAATACTGCATCAGATTATGATAAAGTCTTTGAAAGCAAAGGACCTGTCCTTCTCTGGTCATTAGCCCTCACCTCAATAATTACAGCCTGATTAATGACTGAGAGAGACTTTCATTAGACAGGAGGAGAGGACAGGTTTTATAGTGTCAATTCAAATTGATCCTGAAACTGATACTTGAATCTCAGTGATGTCCACTTTATCTTGAAAAGAAAGTGGTATGATTCTATAGCTGAGAAATAAAAAGGAATATGACAAAGACAAAGGTATTCAAGTGCTGCAACGTATAAATTATAAAGAAAAAAATCCTTGACCACGACAGCCTTGTGTGTGTGTGTGTGAATAATAAGCATTTGCTGTAATTGAGCCATTTACATGAAGTAAGTCAGAGTGGTTATACACATTTGTGTGTCAACATGCAGCTGCCTGTATCCTGCTCAACGTAAGTCATTTCCTTTAATGACAACTGCTACATATAGGACCGCTTCTATACATGATCGGCCATACAGATATGAAATTATAAACGCAGCCGTAAGTAAAATGTCAAGGCTTTTATATATATATATAAAAAGGTGTCTGTGGTTCAGGTTGACAGGTGATTGATGAAGGTTCAATGCGGCTGTGTTGAACTCATGTTCTTTTCAATCACAAGAGGACCTCACATAGGACCTCTTGCTTTCTCAGGCCTATAATTATAAAAAAAGCTTTTCATGCTCTCTAGCATAGAGATAACATATTTAGATAATATTTTATATCTCAAAAATATCTCATGTTCTGTCTTCACCTAAAGCTCCAGGGTGACTACAAATGTCTCCATAAATTATCACGTTTTCGTGATAAATGTGTGGTGTGCCCCAAGGGTCAATTCTTGGTCCATTCCCGTTCTCCGAGTTCATGCTCCTCCTTGACAACATAATTTATTGTGAGACCATGTGATGATACACATACAG